GTAAATTACAAAGGCGAAGAGAAGATAAAGTTTATTTTAATTTTTAAGCATTGTTGCCATCTCACTAACCCAAGATTTGAACCTTGTGTCATTGAGACAATAACGAACAAGATAGACAAAGTATTGGATTGAAAAATGTGTTATAGTTTGGTGACCTTTACAAAAAGGGGAAAAAATAGATTTCCCGTTGACATGATTATTATAGTTTAATATGTTCACGCGGTTTTGCCATTGCCCTAAACTACTAAAGTTCTAATAAATAGTTTCATGGACAAGGCAAAATGTATAAGTGGGTGTGAAGTAAGACGAAAAAAAAGCTTGCAAACTTATAACAAAATGAATAAAAAAACAACTAGAAATATTTGTTTCGACGAATTTTATATTGGTTATGAATATATACATAGACATGTTTTAGTCGACTAAATCTTTCAAATGTTGTTGGGTGCCACTATGTTTATTACTTACACCAGTAATTAATGCTTATATAGTTGTGTGCATATATAAATCTCCCATGAATAGTTATACATACAAGTTGGCTTTTAAAACAAAAAAAAAAAATTATGACAATGTTAACTCCAGGTATGTCTATTTCAGAGTCATTAGTTCGAACTAAACTGGTATTTGTAAATGGACAACAATCAAATTATAATAAACTGCCATTGGAACTTAATAGAAGAAGAAAAATGATTTAAAATCTTAGACAACGCTAGTTGATGTTAATATACACCTGATATCAAAGATAAGACATGAAACATGAGTGGATTAGATGGATAAGTATTGTTCTTTTCCATAAATCGATAGAATTAGATGTGAGATTGACATTGCCGAAAAATGATTTGTCAATGAGAATGACAGTTTAGAGAACAAAAATTCACAACGATCCCTAAATTAAGTGGATGAGTGGATCAAAGAATCAACTATTAATTTATCAATAATCATTGAAAATGTTTGTTCATATAAGCAACACTCAAAAAGAAAAACAAGCTAAGAGAAAACAAGCAATTTGGATATACCTATTTAATTGTATCTTATTAATTTGAAGAAGACTTTTAGGTCATAAACAAGAAAACTCGACGATGAAGACTGTATTTTCTTGTAGACACCATATACAATGATAATTTGATTCTTTTCATCTACAATGCTATATCATCAACTTTTTTTTGTTGATAAAGCTATATTATCATTTTTTTTTTTAGAATATTCTCTCAAGCCCTTCACAATAAAAAAAACAAAAAACTCCCCGGAAATTGGGCGGAAGTGTATTTAGGAATTTAATTATGGCATATTAACATATA